TAGCTGTTCATGTGTAAAGATTAATCATAATTTAGCAAGTGTTACACAGAATTAGGCTACCTTGAAAAAGCAAAGAAGATAACAGTCTCCAAAGACAAAGATGAAAACAGAATATGTAGCCTGAAAGTAGAATGTGAGCCTGAATACCTAGAAGTTCTCCCATCAGTTAGATTTGTAACAGGAATTAATAAGAATAAAATAATTCTGGTGAGCATGTGGATGCACAGTGCATACCAGTGTTAGCAAATGAGCTAAATGCATATTCACAGAGTATTGATGATTGGATTTCAAAAGCAAAGACATTTATGACGTCGAGGAAAACATGAAGCTTCCGTAGCCACCAGGAAAACACACAGAAATTAATTTGATGGGATCTCAAACTTATCTTAAATCAACAACCTTCTATTCTACTCAGCTGGCTGCCTTGATTAAATTTCATGATGCAAAACACCGGCACGTTAAGTAAAATTACATTTTCAGGTGATAGGAGAAAAACGGCTGCAATGTGTTTTTCCTCATTAAAGCACTGCCATTATGCATAAACCTTAAGTGTTCACAATAGAAGTCGGGTTTACAAGATGAAAGCATGGCAAGAAAAAGCGTGTTTCTGAAAAATAAAAATCTTCGGGAAAAACAAAAATGGCGTTCTTTACCCATCTTGCTTAACGAAAGAGCCAGAGTTTAAATTGTCTAGTGTCACAAATTGTGTTACTTTTTAAAGCGATGTGGGTGTTGGCTTCTCATAGTAACAAAATATATTCAGGATTGTTTTTACCTCTGTATTTATCATTTTAAAAAGCCAAGAAGGAGGTTGATGAATTTCTGTTAAAAGCCATTCCTGTTACATGTGACAAACTAGCAAATATTTATTTACAGTGTTTGTTTAATAAACCATTGAAGTTGAGTGAAATCAATATAAAGGAAATATGGATTGATATGTGATTTAGAGATTAAAGTTAGTCCTGAGATGTAAATAAAAGATGAAAAGTGCCCTATATTTCTTTAATTATGTACCCCAAGGGGTGCCTGGTCCCCACACACAGCTGTCCTGTAGCTCTTGATGGCAGTTCAGGAAGTTATCTATCGATCCATCTCCACATAAGCCATCTCATTCCATCCTGGATGATTCTAGGTGGAGTCCCCTCTCGCCTCTCCTTCAGCACACCCTGTGAGCCCTCTCCTCCTTAAAGCCCAGCTTGGTATTCACAGCCTCCATTCAAGTAAAACAAACAAAACAGCCCGGCCAATGTGGCTCAGCAGTTGAGCACTGACTTACAAACCAGGAGGTCATGATTTGATTCCCAGTCGGGGCACATGGCCAGGTTTTAGGCTCGATCCCCAGTGTGGGGCATGCAGGAGGCAGCTGATCAATGATCCTCTTTCATCATTGATGTTTCTCTCTCTCTCTCCCTCTCCCTTCCTCTCTGAAGTCAATAAAAATATATTTTTTTTAAAAATGAACAAATCAAAAACCTACCTGGCTTACAGCTGTCCCTCTCCAATTCTGCATACCCACCGCATGCGTGCACACAGTAGGATGCAGCACTAAACAAACACTGAATGATTGGTACATGTATTCGCTCTCAGATTGGGTCAGGGATAATCTGGGATAACAAAGAATATAAATATTACTCATAACCTGTTTTGGAAAAACTACAGTCAGTAATCCCATGATGTGAAATGTAAATATTTCTGCAGAAACAAAGCCTCACGAGCAGAATTTAATTTTCACTCCAAACAAACCATTACCTGTGGTTAATGGACCGGAGCAGCTACACCACCACCAAGGAGCAGGACCAGCCTGAACATTTGGTCCGGAAATTCTATTCAACAGCAGAGCAAAGAGCACACACCACTGACTCGGCTAATCTAATTAAACTTTCCCAGGACTATGAATACCCTGTGGCACAGCAAGGCCACTGAACTCCCAGCCAGAAGTCCCTGCCTACCCAGTTACTCCCATCTCTCCCTCAAGTTTTTGTTACTAGAGGACATCTTGGAGGCCTGGTGGAGTGGCCTTTCCTCACTTTACCCTCCACACCTATAGGTTTAGTTGTTTTAGATCCATGGTCAGCAAAACTGTGGCTCGCAAGCCACATGCGGCTCTTTGGCCACCTGAGTGTGGCTCTTCCACAAAATATCATGGCCTGGGCAAGTCTATTTTGAAGAAGTGGTGTTAAAAGAAGTTTAAGTTTAAAAAAGTTGGCTCTCAAAAGAAATTTCAATCGTTGTACTGTTGATATTTGGCTCTGTGGACTGAGTTTGCCAACTACTGTTTCAGATGATTTCATGTCCTCTTTCGATGCATCTGGTGTGAATTTTTCCTTCTTACATTGCGTGAGGACAGAGCAGTAGCCAGAGGTGCCACAGAGACAGGGAGGGTGTGTTGTAAGGCAGTTAGAAGTGACCGGGTGTCTGTAGGCTTTGAGAATAAAAAGTTCCTGGAAAGGTGACATTTGAAGACCCAACCTTCCCCATCAAGGCCTTCAAGAAGCTGTTATTGTCCTCACTATCCCAAGAGTATACGTCACATATTCAACTTACTTCAATGCGTTTTTCCCTTCTGTCCTCAAAGCATTGATTATTTCACTTTTAATGGAGTCTTTTTTAATGAAAGGAGCATCCTGAACTTCCAAAGGGAGTTTTTAAATTATAATTCAAGTATTGTTGGGAAATATTTCCTCTACCTTCATTCCTTGAGGCATAGATATCCTTATATAAATTATAGAGTGGTTGAGTGTCGACCTTTGAACCAGGAGGTCACGGTTTGATTCCTGGTCGGGGCACATGGCCGGGGTTGTGGCTCAATCCCCAATGAAGGGTGTGCAGGAGGCAATCAATCAATCAATTATTCTCTCTCATCATTGATGTTTCTATCTCTCTCTCTTCCTCTCCCTTCCTCTCTAAAATGGATAAAAAATATATTTTTAAATAAGTAAGTTATTACATTATACAGCAGTGATTTCAGTTACTAAGGCCTGGATCTGACCATGGGCAGTGCTATACAAGATTAAGCAGATGTGCAGCTGGGACCACAGAGAAGGAGGACTGGCATGCCAGCATCCCCCAAAATATACCATTCTCTGCCGCTGAAGGGCTACATCCTGGACAGAACGGGGGTCCTTAGGAAAGAAATATAAACAAGGCCGGGACCAACCAAGACATCTCCCCCGTTTCAAACCCAGCCTGGATTGAACCTGATGTTCCTGGCATTGGACTAAAAAATTTGAGTAAAAAGAGGAGGGGGAGACTTGTTCTTCAGGGGCTTTCTTAGTTCAGGCTGTGTAACAAATTCCCATGGACTGGAGGCTGAAACAACAAACACTGATTTCTCCGTTCTGGAGGCTGGGAAGTCCAAGATCAAGGAGCCTGCAGATCCAATGCCCCGTAAGGGCCCACTTTCTGGCTGGTAGATGCTATCTTCTCGTCCTCCCCTCACCAGGCAGAGAGTAGAGAAGCTACTCTCTGGACTCTTACAAGGACATTAATTCCATTCCTGAAGGCTCCACCCTCATGAACTCATCTAACCCTAATCACCTTCCTAATACCTTCACACTGGGGTGGGGTAGTTTCCACATAAAAATTTGGGGTGCGTGGAGGGGAGCACACAAGCCTTGAGTCCATAACAGAAGCCCACAGTCAATGAGAAAGACACTTCAGACACTAAAGGTTTTACAATCCATGAGATCAGTGCCGCGGCAGCAACCTACCAAGGACCGGGAAGCAAAGGTCAGGGAGAAGTTAATTCTGCCTTGAGAAGGAACTCAAGCATGGATTATTTCACTTTTTCCAATATCTAGTTGAAGTAATTGAGGAAGAAATTGATACTTGAACTAGATATTGGAAAAAGGACAGGAATTGACTAAAAAGATAATGAGGAAAGAAGTTCTTTAAACAAAACAAAAAAAATGACCTAAAAATTCCTCTCAGTGGTTCTCAACCTTTCTAATGCCTTTAATACAGTTCCTCATGTTGTGGTGACCTCCAACCATAAAATTATTTTCGTTTCTACTTCATAACTGTAATGTTGCTGCTGTTAATGAATCGTAATGTAAATATCTGTGTTTTCCGATGGTCTTAGGCTCTACAGCAATGGTTCTCAACCTGTGGGTCGCCTGTGAGAATCGCTGGCAGGGTCGCCTAAGACCATCCGGGAAAACAGATATTTACATTATGATTCATAACAGTAGCATCATTACAGTTATGAAGTAGCAACGAAAATAATTTCATGGTTCGGGGTCACCACAACATGAAGAACTGTATTAAAGTGTCGCGACATTAGAAAGGTTGAGAACCGCCGAAACCGGTTTGGCTCAATGGATAGAGCGTCGGCTTGGGGACTGAAAGGTCCCGGGTTCGATTCCGGTCAAGGGCGTGTACCTTGGTTGCGGGCTCATCCCCAGTAGGGGGTGTGCAGGAGGCAGCTGATCGATGTTTCTCTCTCATCGATGTTTCTAACTCTGTACCTCTCTCCCTTCCTCTCTGTACAAAATCAATAAAATATATTTAAAAAAAAGAAAAAAAAAAAGAAAAAGAAAGGTTGAGAACCACTGCTAATTCTTTGTGGTGAACAGAACCAACCTACCAATTTTAATCAGAGCTAACCTAGACGTTTAGTTACTATTGAGGCTTCTCCGATAGTTATTTATTTCCAGTTTATGACCAATTCAGAGCATCTACAAAAGTGACCTACTGAATTTGCAGAGGCAGCAAAATTCTTACAACAGTAATAATAATAACAGGATGAAACTTAATGGCTTTACTGAATAGATTACCTTTATGGCCAACAGCCCTCGTGCTCTCTCCAAGCCCACGGAAGTCCCTGGGAAGCCTCGTTTGCTGCTCCAAGCTTACATTGCATTACACACTTGTTAATTGTAATGTAAATTGGTAAAAATTGAAAAGCTGTGCATCTACTTTTAAATTGAACCATTTTTAGTAAATCACTGAATACTTTCCATGAACAATAGGAGTTTTACAAGATGACCTGTTATTCTTACCTCCATGGGAAAAGCTTTGAAATTAACAGTGTGCTCAGAACCACGCTGGTTTTCTCTTCCCCAATGAAATCGGACCTCATACAGTTCGAATTCGTGCCCTTGAGGCAATGGACCTCCCGACAGAACTGAAAAAAATAAAATAAATTATATTTAATTATATCTCAAACATATTCATCAGCACAGCAATAGAAACACTGGGGACATGTTTTGACAAACACTCGCATGAGCTCTATAGATTCCATTCATATGGCCAAAATGAGACATAAATACAGCACAACTGTAAACTTACACTATGTGGGTTTTTGCTGAAATTCTTATAATGCCATTCAGATAAAGCAGAAGTTCAAAAACCTGGAATATCTTGGTAATGATATGTATATCATTTCATTTTAACTTGGTTAACTTTATTTTTTTTTTAATATATTTTATTGATCTTGTACAGAAAGGAAGGGAGAGAGATAGAGAGTTAGAAACATCGATGAGAGAGAGTCATCGATCAGCTGCCTCTTGCACACCTCCTACTGGGGATATGCCCACAACCAAGGTACATGCCCTTGACCAGAATCAAACCCGGGACCCTTCAGTCCCCAAGCCGACGCTCTATCCATTGAGCCAAACGGGTCTTGGCGCAACTTGGTTAACTTTAGACAAAGAAAACCAATCCAATAATTATGCTCTCTGAGATATAAACTTAACACTCATCAGGAGGTAAAAATATTGTTTGAGTTTCAGATTAATCAATAACTTGCTATAGATTTATCAATACATTAAACCTTGTTTTCAGATCATCCATTTGTAGCAATAGGCTTTCAAGGTATAATAGGTATATTAGCTTATACCTATTTAGAGAATAGGTATAAGCTAATAAAATTATCTATGAAGAGAATTATTATTAAGCCAATCAGGTTTTTCAACAATGCAATCACACTTACAGTAAAAAGCAATTTACCGTTCAGTGTCACATACAATGCAAACAAAATAAAATTTAATAAAATATTAATACTTAAAATATGAACATCAGTTCTATAGGGCCATGTCTCTAGTTCTCATTTCTGGATATGACTCAGAACTTTGCCCCAAAGAAGGGCACTCTAAAAGTAATGAAAAATAAATTTGTACAAGAACCTGTCTTGAAGAGCTAAAATACTTTCTTTAAACACTCCCTAATTATCATATGGAAAAACTTGAAATAAAGTTTATTATAAATTACTTATTTCAATATAAATAAAGATCGTTTGCATTTTTATTTTTTAAAATGTTCATTCTAAATGATATCAGCTAAGAATTGAAAGTTATTTTTCATTCAAGACAGTGACGAAATTCACCCCGTTCCCCCCAAAATGGTCTCTCAAACAGGAGAGCATTGATACCTGGGTTGTCATTGCCGAGCAAGTGACAATGTCCAACCTGCTCTCCTGAGGAACAGCGTGGCTTTCTATCTCACTCTAAAACTCAAAGGGGAAGAAAGCAAGCAAGTGCAACAGGTATTTACTTGTTTGGTTGGTTCTACATCCCATAACTTGTTCCAAAAAGAATTTCAAGCTGCTTATATCAAGGTACACAAAACACAGGCAGAAAGCATGCATTAGGAAGAAGAACAAAGGTTAAACAAAGACAAGGGCAGAAAACAGCTGGAGAAATGAGGTGATCGCACACACCAACGTCTGAAGTCCTTGCTAAAAGTGCCCAACAAATTTGCTTCTAAACTTTCTGCCAGCTCAGTGAAGAAAAAGAGCTACAATAGCAAAAAGCAGTTTTCATTTTTCAAGTGTATAAACCTCACATCCTGGGGAAAGGAGGTGATGTGCATGGCCTTTAGGATACTATTTTTCACAATTTTAATGCTTCTCTCCAGACCTGGTCTTACTAAAGTCTCACAACAAATCTGAGGGGTCAGTGGGATTGTCCCCCTGGACAGGAGAGAAGAACAAGGCTGAGAGGGGGTAAATGCGGCCTGCCCTGGCCACCCAGGGTCCTCTGACCCACGTCCCAGGGTGCGACAAGGATGGAGAAAACCAAATTTTAGTATCTGCAAGCATGAAAAACAATGGCTTCTTTTTTTAAATATATTTTTATTGACTTCAGAGAGAGGAAGAGAGACAGAGAAACATCAATGATGAGAGAGAAACATTAATCGGCTGCCTCCTGTATGTCCCACACTGGGGATGGAGCCCACATCTCAGGCATGTGCCCTGATAGGGAATCGAACTGTGACCTCCTGGTTCACTGGTCGACACTCGACCGCTAAGCTACTGCGGCCAGGCAAACAATGAGTTCTTTAAGTCTAGGGTTCTAAACTGCAGTTCTATTTCCCAGGACAATAAAAAAAAATTTAAGTACATGGATCACAAAGGGTCACAGATATCCAGGGCTGCAGTGCACCTCACATAGCATCTTCAATAAACACCCAGCTGTGGATGGAAGAAGAGATGACAAGTTTCTATTTCAACCGGGTGCCACAGTTTCTGAATAATCTCAAAACTCTCTCTTCCTTCCACACAGCTGTCCAAGCTTGGTCTTAAGGAAAACCCAGGAGGCCTGCAGTCCACCTACAGTGGACCCCACCTCCCAAACCAAAGCAAGGAAGTCCGTGGCTGAACCCCAGCCTCACCGTGAAAACTCGAGAACACACCCTCACCCTGTGGGAGCGCAGCCCGAGTGCTTCATGGGTGTGGGCTCTGCTTTTTAAAGGTGAAAACTGCCCTAGAGGAGGCTTAGCTCCACACTGCTAAGGACAAGGAGAGAGAAATATTGTGAAATAATAAGTCATGGGAAATGGGAAAGAGGGTTTTTAAAAACTACTGGTACTTACAAAAAAAAAGAAAGAAAGAAAGAAAGAAAGAAAGAAAGAAAGAAAGAAAGAAAGAAAGAAAGAAAGAAAAGAAAGAAAGAAAGAAAGAAAGAAAGAAAGAAAGAAAGAAAGAAAGAAAGAAAGAAAGAAAGAAAGAAAGAAAGAAAGAAAGAAAGAAAGAAAGAAAGAAAGAAAGAAAGAAGAAAGAAGAAAGAAAGAAAGAAAGAAAGAAAGAAAGAAAGGAAGGAAGGAAGGAAGGAAGGAAGGAAGGAAGAGAAAGAAAGAAAGAAAGAAAGAAAGAAAGAAAGAAAGAAAGAAAGAAAGAAAGAAAAGAAAAGAAAAGGAAAGAAAAGAAAAGAAAGAAAGAAATGGATGTTATAACTGATGTTGACAGTGACTTTAAGAGACCAGAAAAAGAACCTGGAAACTCCATAGATCTGTCTTGATAAGAGAAGTTGAAGGCCCCCAAGGATCCACTGATCACATACATTGTATCAGACACTGTATTAAGTGCTTAAGGTACACTGATTCTTTTTTTAGAGAGGGAAAGGAAGCGGGAAGGAAGGAAAGGAGGGAGGGAAGAAGGAGGGAGGGAGGGAGAAAGAGAGGGAGGGAGGAAAGAAATATCGATCGGTTGCCTCCCTCACAATTGAACCCACAACCAGGTATGTGCCCTGACAGAGAACCGAACCTGCCACCTCCTGGTGCACAGGATAATGCTCCAACTGAGCCACATCAGCCGGGGCAAGATAAAGGGATCTTGACAAAACAGACATTTGGTGATTGCATGGATCTTTACAATGAGCGCAGAAAAGGGAAGCATTCTGCCAGGCCTGGTCCCCAGAGAGGGGTGACAGAGAGGCAGCGTGGGCCAGGAATTAGGCACTGGGAACCTTTCACTTTTCCTGCAGATGAGTATCCCAAAGTAAAACCGCACTAAAATCACGTGGCTGTACAGAGCCACAAAGAATGACGAAATCCTGAAAGCAGAATTTTATGAGGTGCCAGCTAAGTATTACCTGTGCATCTTTTAAGAATGACTGTTTTCAGACCAAAAATAAACAGCTCTGTTTCACCCATTTGGCAACATCCGCTTAAGGCATTTTTCTGCCTCAGTATAGCTTTTCTTCAAATAAGGAGACCACTCATACCAAAAGGTGTACACTTTCCCCTATATTTATGATTATCAAATTTTGCCACCATATGGCAGGTTTATTAGTTGTGATGTCACTAGGGTCAGTAAAATGTGTTACAATGGCTCTCTGGCTGGAATTAAAACAAACAAACTTCGAAATAAAAATGTGTTACAATGAAACTCATACTGATGACACGCTGCATTTCCTTAGAATAACAAACTTGTGGGGGGAAAAATACAAAATAAACCGATGTCATTGCTGCAGCACCCGTTTTCTTTAACACCCTGTCATAGTCAGGGCTACAATGCTTAGGAGATACAAAGAGATCCTTCTCCAAAGTTTGGGAACCTCATAGATATATATTTCAACCTAGCTAAGCGTCTCTCTCCATTCACTGGAGACAAATCTGCCAGGTAGTTCAATAGCTCAAAGGCGGTTGTCCATCAAGGCTTATTTCCCTCATTGCACTTGAGTTCAACACGCACACACGTTGCAAAACAGACGCCTTGCCCTGCGCCGAGCACCCAGTTCAGAGAGAGAGGATACTGCCTCGGGGCTGGCGGGCCCTCTCAGTGCGTGTGAAGCTGGATTTGACGGTTCACATGAATTGCATCAGAAGAGTAAGGGAAAGTGCACAAGGCAGTAGGAGAACGCCCAGCAAGGGCCGAGCCAGCACCAAGGGCATCAGAAGGTCAGGAGATGACTGCCAAGCAGAGCCTTGAAGAGGAAGCTAAGGGAAGTGAGAAAGCGCGGGCCAGCTGGGAGAGGAGGCTGAGAGGGGAAGCAGCCTGAATGTGTCCCAAGAGAAGGAAGCCGGAGGTCACCGATGGCCAATGTCAAGATGAGAGAAAGTAATTTTTAAGGTATTTCTGACAACCCCATATTTAAACCAGCAGGGCTGCTAAGAAGCACTTTTTAAAAAGTGGTCATTTTTTAAAAGTATGATGAATAATTAAAAAAAAATAATAATAATCTAGCCTAAAATTAGCATGAAGAATTATAAAAGGCCCAGGAGTGGAATTTTCTAATTAGGGTTTCTATAATAAGTGGCAGGGAAGGGCACAAGTGACCTACCTTGATGAGCAATCTCTCCCATGCCCATGGCCCTTTAAAAGTGTCATCACCCTTAACACACTGCTTGCCGTCAGATGGAACGACGTTCTATTGCACAAGCGTGGGCAGTCTCACACTTTTTCAC